TTACTTTTCCATTCTCTTACACACACACACACACACACACCCAGTTACCTATATACATACGTACGTAAAAAAAAAAAAAAAAAAAAAAAAAAAAAATATATATATATATACCTTCGCAGAGATTCCATAAAAAGCATCATCGACCGATTCGAACGGAGATTATTATTTATGCAAACGGGAATGAAAGAGTCAGCGGCATGTACATATCGACGTTTCTATCATTCTGTCGTCGAATGAACAAATGTACTCGGTGTGATCGTACAACGATCTAATTTACTCTCTCTCTCTCTCTCTCTCTCTCTCTCTCTTTCTATCTCTATCTCTATCTATATAATGTTTATATCTCTCTCACTCTGTCGCTCGCTCGTTCGTTCATTCGCTTGTTCTCTCTCCCTTCCTCTCACTCTCTCTCTCTCTCTCTCTCTCTCTCTCTCTCTCTCTCTCTCTCTCTCTCTCTCTCTATCTCTATCTATCTATCTCTCTCTTACACTTTTCCACTTCCACTATCTCCTCTCTGAGCGTGTGACGAGTCGCGAAGCCGCGTCCGTCGTGTGTTACTTCATTGACGTTCAAGCAGAGAGAGACCGGAACGCGTTAATAAAGCATGCTTTTTCGCCATTTCTGTTACAGATAAACGTGCCGTTAGGAGGATATATTTATGACAGAACGAAGAGCCGTCGCGTCGGCGGAAGTCAAGAGGAAACCTTGACTCTGACTATCGGCGATCTTTTCCATCGACGAGAGGGATAGAACGATATCCGTAAGAAGAATTACCCTTCTTTTTCTTCCCTTTGTCTTTTCTCTCTCTCTCTCTCTCTCTCTCTCTCTCTCTCTCTTACTCTCTCTCTCTTACTCTCTCTTCCTCTCTTACTCTTTTTTCTTTTAAATACTTTACACGTACTTTCGACGAGAATATAAAAGTGTGAAACGAGAGGAACCGGTTAAAGATGTAAATGAGAGAGAGAAAAAAAGAGTATTTAAAAGAGATAAAGAAAGAATATATCTTTGATTCCCATTTCTTTTTTCTTTTTTTTTTTTTCTTTTTTTTTAATTTAAAATGGATTAGAAAATAGTACAGGATATTTATTTATCGAGAAACGTGATTTTGTTAATTTTTCAAGAATTATTTTTAAGTGAAGTACGAAAGTAAGAGGTAAAATAAATTTTGTAAATAAATATATATATATATATATATATATATATAAATATATAATCTAATATCTAAAATGTGGAACGGAATGGAAGGGCCGAAGAAGGCTGATGGAGGGACAGAGGGGAAAGGAAAAAGAAAAAAGAAGGAAAATAAGTCTAACTGTGTTTGCACGTAGAGAGAGATAGAGATAGAGAGATAGACGAAGAACCATACATAAACCTACTTATATATATATATATATATATATATATATATATATATATATAAATAAGTAGAGATTATGCAGTTATATTAGTAAGCATTTACTACTTTCTCAGATTGAAAATGATTGTGTCTGAAATATACAATTTCATAAAAAAAAAAAAAAAAAAAAAAAAAGAAGAAAGAAAATTAAAAAAAATATAAAAAAGCTAAATGGGAATCAAAGATGCTGATAATCAAAGGAGAGTTGGAGGGTAAAGAGATCGAAAAGTACAAAATAGAAAACAAAAGCAAAACAAAATAAAACGAAATATATCCAGTTAAATTGCATGTTGCATAAATGGGGGAAGGAAAGTTTCAAAAAAAAAAAAAAAAAAAAAAAAAAAGGAAAAGAAAGAAAGACAAAACAGGAAAAAAGAAACAAAAAAGCATAGAGATATATAACATATACATACATATAAATGCACACATACACACACACACACACAGAGAGAGAGAGAGAGAGAGAGAGAGAGAGAGAGAGAGACACAGACACACATATATATATATATATATATATATATACATATGGAAAAGTATGATATAAATGTATCGGTACGCATTGGCGGGTCCCGGAGATGACACGAGACTGATGTTCCAGACGACGAGGACGGGGTGGCGGCGGAGGAAGGCGGAGGAGGGTGTACGGTGAAACTCAGCAACGGAGACGAGCGTAACGGCAGCGGGAGTAGCCGAAGAAGAAGAAGAAGAAGAAGAGGAAGAAGAAAAAGAAGAGGAAGAGGAAGAAGAAGAAGAAGAAGAAGAAGGAAGTGGAGAAGGCGGAGGTGGTGGTGGTGGTGGTGGTGGTGGAGGAGGGGTGGTGGTGGAGGAGGAGGAGAAGAAGGAGGCGAGCAGGAGCAGCTCGTGGTGGCGGCGCCGACGGCTGCGTTGGTTCTGCCAGGGCCGCGCATGCTTCACCAACGTACCGCTACAGCAACGACAACACCGCCTGCGACGTCATCCACCAACATGTTCCCCCAACAATACTGCCTGAGATGGAAGTACCATCACAGCAACCTGCAGACCATGTTCTCACAGCTGCTCGAGCGGCAGGCCTATTGCGACGTCACGCTCGCATGCGAGGGCAAGACACTCAGAGCGCACAAGGTAAAAAATCAACGTCATCTACTCACATCTCTCCTTCTTCTTCTTCATCGTCGTCGTCTTCACCGTCGTCAACGTCATCGTTGTCATCGTCGTCGTCGTCGTCGTCGTCGTCATCATCATTGTTGTTATTGTTATTGTTGTTGTTGTTCTTGATGTTGTTGTTGTTATTGTTGTTGTTCTTGTCGTCGTCATCGTTGGTATTATCGTTCTCGTCCTCGTTATCGTCGTTATTATATCCTTCTATAGCTTACCTCTTTAGAAAATATATATATTATATATATATATATACATAGGCGGATACTATTATCTGTTTTTATTTATTTCTTTTTAGTTATGTCGTTGGAACTATGTCAATCTCCATTGAAAACCTTTTCTAATATCGCGAATTAATTGCTTATTGGGATTATATATTTTTTATTTGTTTTAATGCGAAGGTATATTAGCTGGTTTAGATTTGGAAAGTTTTGAAAAGTATTTGTCAGGTTATCAGAAAGCTTTTTGGATGTTTTAAAAATCGTTTTATCTACTTCTCCCTCTCGAACGCGTATAACGGGTACGTTGGTAATTACTCCATGCCTCTGGGCAATGTACATATATATACATATATATATATATATATATATATATATATATATATATATATACACATATTTATTTATTTTCTCTTCTTTTTTTACAAAGCGACATTATCTTTCGAGGAACGATTTTCTTACCCCCTCAGGGTGCCCACCCTTTTATCGTCATTGTACGAAAGATTTTTCGATATATTACATTTAATGCACTATTCTTTTCATAGTAAATATATATCCAACTTATATATCAGGCCGCGTACGTTCCTCGAAAGAATTAAGGGATGATTAAGAAACCCTTTATAATAAAATGTATATTTAAATATGCATTTGTTTACAAACAATATATATATATATACATACATACGTATATATATACATTTAATAATTAATAAGAAAGAATTGAGAAACCCAATGGTATGATTGATACTAAGATTCATGAATGATTGATTAGAAAAAAAAATTCAGCATTTCGAATTCGAGGTCGTACTGCAACCGAGGTTTAGAGAGGGGATATGCAGTAAATAGGAGGATTCTAAGGGTGAGTTAGAAAATTCTATGACATTCTTCAGGAAAAAAAACAAAAGAAGAAAAGAAAAAAGGCGAAAAAAAAAATTAAAAATAATAGAGGGAAAAGAAAAAAGAAAACATATTCGATCTTATTCATCCAATGAACCCAACCGACCAAACAAACGAATGGAACTGATCGACGAATCAACCCTTCGGCCAAATTCGATCTTTTTTTTTTTTTTTTTGTTCTTTTCCTTCGAGAAACGGATAGAGAAGGGAGGGTGCGGGAATAGGCAAGAGGGATGATAGGGTGTGATGGGGTGGTACATACGTCTGGCCGGTTGTAGCGATCGCGAGTTAGAGTAGAAAACTCTCTCTGGCGATAATTGAACGGCCTTTTCCCACAGCGAAACGCTCTTCGATCGGCGGCGGTGGCGGTGGCGGCGGCGGCGGCGGCGGCGGTGGAGACGGCAGCCGGGTTGGTGTAGAAAGAAGCGGGAGGCGGAAGAAGAAGAGGAAGAAGATGATGATGAAGAAGAGGGGGGGGGCCGGGGTCGGCGGCAGCAGCGACGGCGGGGGGTGTCTCGTGGGTGGGTGAAAAGGGGAAGAAAGAAATGAGGGGGGACTGGTGGTGGTGGGCACGAGGTTACGCGAGGGTGGGAAACAATCTCGCGCAGAGTTTTCATCGACTGACGCGGTGCGCCGCGACTCTTGCTCCTTTTTTCTTTTCTCTCTCTCTCTCTCTCTCTCTCTCTCTTTCTTTTTTTGTTGTTGTTCTTTTTCGCTTATGTGAGCGTGCGTGCGTGTATGTGTGTGTGTGTGTAAGCTTTTTTTTTTCTCGTACACGTGTCTATCTTTCATTTTTCCAGCCGAACCTCCTATCCCCACCTCTCATCCCATCCATTTCTTTCTCTCTTTCTTTTCTTTCTCTCTCTCTCTCTCTCTCTCTCTCTATCTCTATCTTACTCTCTCTCTTTCTCTCTTGGTTTTTCCATCTCTCTTCGTTCCTTCGTACGTATTCGGTTTTCTTTTTCTCGTATCCAGTACTACACCAGCTAGCCTGCAGAATGTTCCTTGATTCGTCTTATTGCGTACGTCGTAGAGAAAGAAAGATGAAAGAATAAAATAGAAAAAGAAAGAGAGAGAGAGAGAGAGAGACAAAGAGACAAAGGTATATATATATATATATATATATATATATAAAGAGAGAAAGAGAGAGGAGATGAGATGTTGGACTGAGAAGGGTGAAAAAAGGCTCGCTTCTTCAAGAGCGAGAGAGAGAGAGAGACCACCCTCACCGCTGGCCTCGAGGAACATAAAACTTGACAAACGATCAATTTTCTGTTCTTTGTTTCTTACCAGAGGGTGAAACTACGTTCTCTTCTACCTCATTCTCTCTCTCTCTCTCTCTCTCTCTCTGTTCAACTCTTCTCACTCTTTTTTCTGTTCACCTCTTCGAAGCCAGCGACCAACGTGCAATACACCCTCTACCTAACTCTCTTCAACCCCTCTCGCGTTCTTTCATCGCGCGTCTTTCTTCTCTTTTCTTCCTCTTGCTTCCTCTCTCTCTCTCTCTCTCTCTCTCTCTCTCCTCCCTCCGTTTTCTTTCATCCATCCATCCATCCTTTTTCTTTTCCATCCTTTTCCTTTTATTTATTTTTTTCTTTTCTCTTTTTTTTTATTTTTTTTTTTTTCATTTCTCCTCCTTTTTTTATTTCTTTTATTTTTTTCCCCTGGCCTATGCGTCGAAACGAGCCGCGCAGAGGAGAGGCACTCTATCAAAGTAGAAAGAGGAAAGAGACAGAGAGAAAGAGGAAGAAAGAAAGAACGAAAGAAAGAAAGAAAGGAAGAAAGAAAAAAGGAAAGAGATAGATAGAGAGAGAGAGTGAGAGAGAGAGAGAGAGAAAGAGAGAATACGTTTGGCTTGGTTTATTTTTTACTTTGGGAGGGGTCCAAATTGTAAAATCAATACTTCCTCCTAAATTTAGAATGCCGCCGACGCCGACGCCGACGCCGAGGGAAACACGCGCGCGCCCGGCCTTTTTTCATTTCTTATTTTTCTTTTTTGTTTCCTTTTTTATTATTATTATTATTATTATTATTATTATTATTATTATTATTATCATTATTATCATTATTATTATTATTATTATTATTATTATTGTGCATTTTTTCTCTCTCTCTCTCTCTCTCTCTCTTTTCTTTCTCTGTCTATTTATCTTACCGTTCCTATCTCGTTGCTCGGGAACGTGAGCGTACCGAGGAAGGTAGGGAAAGGTTGAAGGGGTAAATTCGTAAACGAATTTTCAAGGTTTCGAGAAAGAGAGGAGAAGACACTCACTCCCTTTCATTCCGTCCTCCTTCTCTCACCTTCATCCCCTCCCACCCACCAATCAAAAAAGCGTTCGAAATTACTGTCGGAAATGGTCGCAGCACCGGTTGATGATGGTGGGTATTGGCGGTGAGTGTCGGTGAGTTAGACAGAAAGAGTGACCGAAGGGAGGGTGGTAAGGTAGGTGGGTGGGAGAGAGGGTTAGGTAGTAGGTGCCAGGTCGAGCCAAAGTCACCGACGAAGACGAGAAAGAAAGAGAAGAGAGAGAGATACTCTTTTTCTTTTTTATTTTTATTTTTTTTGTCTCTTTCTTTCTTTCTTTCTTTCTTTCTTGTCCCGACCTAACGGGGAGGGTTGGAAAACGGCTAAAGGGTTTGAGATAGAACAAATAGAGGTAAAAGGAAAGAGGTAGACTCGATGTAAAAAGAGAGGGCCGAAGGGTTGCTCTGCTCAGTGCATGACCAGCTGGTTGAATTCTCCCTTCTTACTCTGTCTCTCTTTTTCTCTTTTTTTAGTCACCGACTAACCACCCCACTATTCCTCCTCTTCTCGTCTGGTATCACCTGCATCCAGGTGTGTGGATAACCCTGAATGATAGAGGAAAAAATTATTTATGTATATATATATATATATATATATATATATATATATATATATATATATATATGTATACATATGTATTTGACGACGCATGTGCGTTACGTCGAAAAAGAAAGATGGAAAAAGAGATTAAAATCAGCAATGAGAGAAATTTTCAACGCTTGGCTGCTTCTTTTATCTTTTTTTCTTTTTTTCATAATTTTTTTTTTCTCTTCTTTTTTTCTTTCTCCCTTTTTTTCTTTTTTTTTTTTCTTTTCTTTTACTTTTTCATGCATGCACACGACGTAAGCATATGTCGTGCATTTTTTTCTCTTCTCTTTTTTGTTTTTCTTCTCTTCTTTTTTCTTTTTTTTTTTTTTTCTTTTCTAATTATTTTTAATTCTTATCCTTTTTTCCTCCTAATTTTTCTTTTTGTTCCGCGCCACAGTTCTTTCACCATTCGTTCTCATTTCTTTTTGAAGTTGTTCCTCTTTTTTTTTTTTTTTCTTGTTTTTATTTTTTTTGTTTTTGCTTCTCTATTTAGCTATTTCTCTTCCTTGTTCTTCTTTTTAAATTACTATTCTTCTGTTATCTCTTTTTTCTCTGTCCCTTTATTTATCTCTCTCTCTCTCTCTCTCTCTTTCTCTTCTCTCTCTCTGTCTGTCTGTCTGTCTGTCTGTCTGTTTCTCCTTCCTTCTCTGTTTAATACTCTTAGCAGATAGGAAGAAAAGAATAAGTCGTTATTACTTTTAGTATTAATGACTTTTAGGATTTATAGTTTATACATCGAGTCGTCTGAAATGGCTCATTTCTTTTTTATATTTAATATATTTATATATATATATATATATTTATATTTATTTCTCTCTTTTCCTTTGCCTCCCTCCCTCCCTCCCTCTCTACCTCTCTTTCTGTCTCTCTCTCTCTCTCTCTCTCTCTCTCTCTCTCTCTCATCAACTTTTAATTAAATCATATTAATGAATTTTTGAAAATAATCTGTCATACATCCT